GCTGATTACACCTTGGATACAGGGTGCATGTTCACCCTTAGCTAACTGTGTTGAAGTGAAATCTCCTGAAGGAGATCAGTATTCAGCAAATTATATAATTTCAGAGGTGTTGAGCATCTCAGAATTTCAGCTGACCTAGGAAAACCTGCATGTAGTCATCACTCCCACAGCTCAGATCAAAGGCTACTCGAAATTCAAGTACATCAAATTTGGATGTCGTTTTCAAAAAGATGGGTCTTAACTGCTGTTTTTCATTTTCTCATGGGTGAAATATGGTATTAATTATGCTCTAAATTGTGTTCATTGAAGTCTGTGACTCTAAGGTATCAGTGATAACAACAGAAATGGCAGTTGACCAAAGTTTTGAGTAGCTGTGAAAGCATTACACCTTTCAAGTTGTGCCCAGTATGCCAATGTAGAGTATACAGTATAAAAATTAAGTAGTTTCACTGTATTTCTAGAAACAATGTGGGTTGATATGTTACATGTACCACATTTTGGCCCAATTTTAGGTTTCTTCTAAACTTAAAACTTCTATTTTTAAGGGCAGATGGTATATAAAACTTAGAAAGTTCGATTATATTTCTAACAAAATGTTCATTTAAACTTCTTTTTGTAGTTCTTGGCTGAAGACTATACATTAATGGATGTTCTCTACTGCGTTACACGAGATGATCTGAAGTGTTTGAGACTGAGGTAATGTTTCACAGGGAAATGAACTGTGCTGAACAGGAGTGTGGTTTATTACTAAAGAAAATAACTGATACTAAACCTCTATTTATTGGATTATGCCCTATTAATTTAAAATAAGTAACACTTTCCAGTATGTTTTGTATATTGATACATTCCTGATAAACAGTTGATAGTGTTTAAATTTCAAAATAAGCTTTTCTATTAAAGGAAAGCAAAGGGAAAATTTTGAAGTAAAGCTTTTACCTTACACCTGGAGACACTAGACATCCCATTAGAGCCTTGCTTTTATTTAAAAAGGTAGAGATAGAAAAACTTTCTGTAGTTTATCATCATCAAACTTCAAACGGATTGCAACTAACACTAGATTTCACTTATCCTGCCAGGTGAGTAGGTCACTGCAGAAACAATAGGAGTTACCAAACACTGTCTTGTGTGCCCAGTCAGTTTAAAAGTAAATGCCTAAATAAGAATTTAGAAACAAAAGAAAACAACCTCAAACAAACAAACAAACAAACAGAAAAAAACAACAAACCAGCAAGTGGTAAGATTTTTTTTTCATAATCACATTATGAAAATGTTGGAAGTCTGCTGTGGGTCATGCAAGTCCTTTGGACCAGAAGTCTGAATTCCTGAAAGCAGGCATCTGAAAAGTGGATGTCATCAGGAAAGGACTCTGTCCTCTATTTGAGTATTGCACGTTGAATTTCACCTTTGATCAGCCTTCCCACTGGATTTCATTGGTCAAAAATGGAGCAAGAAAATCAGAAGGCACCTAAATTGGAATGCTTTCAGGCTAGAGCGAGCATATCTTTGTAGCTGAGCATCTTTGTGATTTTTTTTCTTTACAGAGGAGGAATGCTATGCACACTCTGGAAGGCCATCACTGACTTTCGAGAGAAACACGCCTGACACTGAAATTTTTCTTCGCTTCTCTGCAGAGAGGAAAAGTTTTCCTTTCAGCACAGAGCAGGTGTGCTGTCAGAAGGACTGTTGCACTTTAATCCAGTATTTGTTTACCAATGTTAAAAACACTGCAGCTTCCTGACTGCTTTTACTCTTGTAATCCATGAGGAAACTGTAAACAACCTGCAACATTATTTTACTTCAAATGTTTTTACATGCAAGTTTTTCAAAAACTTTAAAAAAAAACACACCACCAAAACCCATCAAACTCCTGAGATATTGCAGTTAAAGTAACCAGATGTTAATTTCATGAAAAACTGATGTAAGATTTCACGTGACTGTACATCACTGGAACAACACCAAAATGTGACAACAACTTTTCAAGTTTCTTTTTCTTTGTAATATAATTCTTTCTCAATAATCTGTAGTAGAACTTCATAATTTCAATCACAATTAGATATTTTTCTTTTAGTGTGCAAGACCTAAAGGTAATTGTTTTTACCTACTGCCCTACATAGTTTAATATTGTTTATTTTTGGTAATTTAAGTTCTATGGTGCATTTGTTTTAGAGTTGTTTATGTACTACTGAACTGTACCAGTTGCATACACCTGAACCACAGTAATGTTAGCTTGTTCTAAAGCTATCTCTGACATACACAGTTGAAAATAAAAAGAACCTAAGAATTAATTTTTTCCTATATTTTCGGACTTTTAAAATAATAAAGGTGTAGAACTGGAAAATATTGGAATAAAAAAGAGGAAAAAATTATACTGGGTATCAAGGGAACCTTTCTGACACATGTGAAAGTTACTGTGATTTGAGTTTGATAGTTAGCGTTGAATATCTTCTTGGTTTTCCTGTTCGGACAAATTCCCATACTTGACAATCCAGGGCCAAACAAAATTCTTCTCTGGGTGTTCTACTTGCCTTGATAAATGGATTTCCTGCCTCCATGCACTCAACAGTCATTGTGGCCTCTTGTTTTCTTCAGTTTTTTTTAATGCAGTATGTCTTTTCTCACACATAATGAAAGCAGATGGTGAATATTCCTGTCCATCCACTCTCATTGTCACTCCAGCATTCTGGCACTGGGTATCATCAGATTCTTAGGGGGTAGCTTCAGAAAACTCCATTGTGAGTAAGTCTTGCCTGGACAAGACGCTGCTGCTTTCTTCATAAGCATTGGTAACCAATGAACAGCTTGTGCCCTGAATTTTTCAGGTCTAGCAAGTATTTTCATTAAGTATTTTTTTCTAAACATAAACATGTCCTAACATGTATGTAGGAATTGTGCTGCCTAAAACCCAACAATTATGTATTAAAAAAAACCAAGCTAAACAAAGAACAGTAGATTAAATAATTTTAGTCAGATTTTTTTTTTTTTAACTCTGAAGATGATTCCAGATACTTGGGCACAGATAGTTAACATTTTTGGAATGAGTTGAATCTACACTTCAGGAGAAACATAGCTACTGTTTAACTGCTATTACAGGAGAAAACAGTACACTTTCAAGGTAGTTTAAAGCACTGGAAAGACCAGTGGTGGAGGTTGACTTGCACAACCTAAAGCAGCTAAAAAACTCTACCCATGGAAAAGCGACCCTAGGACAGTGAAGCCTGTAACACAATTTTTGTGTGGAACATGATCCTGTTTGGAAACCTCTGATTTCATGCAGCCTGAATAGACCAGAATGCAATTGCATTGCTTTATTTGTGTGTTGATACCTTGAAAGCATGCAGCCTGTTCCCCATTATCCGTGACTCAGGGTGCTCAGTAATTCCAGCTATGCTTAAGAGAAGGAAATGTGATCATTTCAATGTCTCCACGAGACGTAGCCTGGCACCAGCTGGAAGTTAATTCCTATAAGTCACTGCTGGCCTCACCAGACCCAAGGTGGCTTCTGCGGAGCTGCTCAGCAACCAGTTCTCTATTCTGCACTGTAGGACTGCCAAATCTGATGCCTGCCTGGGCTGGGCCACGTATACTTACGCCACTTGAGAGATCATGAACTGGTCTGAATGTGGTTCCCTGAACAGCACAGCTTATCTATCTGGGTACTAGATCTGTGCACAAAAACTTATGTAATATCCCCGCTTCGAGCCGCTTCATATGGATGGTGCCAGACACATTACTTTTTATATCCTTGGACAGAATGTGAAGAAACATTTTGGGACAAGTCAGCCTGGGATGACTCAGCCTGGCTCCCTGAATATGCTGGTGGATGCCTATGTGGACCACAAGTGAGGGATGTGAGATTATGTTGTAAGGACATGCTGTGTTTTAGTGCAGGATTTCGCTGAGGGCAACCTCTTGACTGTAGGACACAGTGCTCCCTTTGAGCTTGGATAGCCTCTTGGTCCTTGACTATTGCTGTTGTAATCCAGGGCTCAGGCTGACTGAGAGATACCTTTCCACCTCTGTTAAGAGAGCCAGGCAGAAGACAGAAGTGAAAACTTGACGAAGTAGGTTTGGGAGCCTCTTGCACCTTTCAGCATAGAGCTTGTAGCACACATGCTTTCCTGCCCACAAACCCCAGGGCATGTTTATCACCCAAGCCCCAGATCCTTCTGTTTTAGAGCACAGATGGCTCCTGGTCCAAAAAGAACATTCATCCTCCCTTCCCCTGGAAGAAGACCTCATGTCCTGAACTTACTTGGTTGCAAAAGGAGGACGTTCTGCGTGGCGGCAGAAGTTTGCTTTGTCCAGCACACCAGACTGAGGGAGCTGCACCTCTCCATCCACTTCCTGCGCACACACCACAGCTGCCTACCGTGAGTTCCCCAATTCATTCACCCTGTTTCCGCCGTAATTTTGATGATTGGTACTGCCTGCGAGCAGACACAAAATGAAATAACGTTTTAGTCCAGACCTACAACACTTTTAAGAGAAACGCTCTTATGATCCCCGGAAAGCAGCTTAGGGCGGGTTTAGATAAACTCGGGGGAAAGGTAACAAGACCATGTGTTGTGGGTTAGGCCACTTCGGCAACCAAACCCTACACAGTCGCTCACTCACCCTCCCCCAGCCCCAGGGATGAGGGAGAGAGTTAAAGGATAAACAGGAAACCCGTGGGTTGAGATAAGAACAGTTTAATACAGATGATCTAATACACAGTGTAGATGCTCACCACCCCCTCTTATCCGAAGCCCATCTTGTCCTGAAGCTGCCATCCCAGACGAATGTGAGCCCCCAAAATACAGAGGGGAGAGAGAGAGAGAGTACTCTCAGAGTGGGAGTACTGGGAGAGAGAGGGAAAAAAAGGCAATAGAGAGAAGTGCAAAAGGAGCAAAAGCAGCGAAAGAGCCAAAGCGCAAAAAGCCCTTCTTCCTGGCTGTCCCTCACCTTTATACTGGGCATGACGCTGCATGATATGGAATATTAATTGGCCAGTTTGGCCCTCAATCTTAAGTTCCACCACAAATCGCAAGGGAAATCGTGGCGCCCTTGTCCTGGCTATGCTCCCCCCTTAACCCGCTGTGCTTCTGCACTCCGACCGGGACATGGCCCACTGAAAAGTCCTTGGAGTCTCACGTCCAACCACAAACATCAGCTTGCTATCAACGTTCTTCTCAGAGCGAGCCTCTGAGTAAAACCAAAACACGGAGCTCTTCTAGCTGCTAAAAAGAAGAGCTAACCCTGTCCCAGCTAAAACCAGGACACCATGAACTTTACAGAAAGGACTGATGCACTGACAACTCTTCATGGAGTCGGGTTTTTTTTTGGAAGCGAGGCGTGTCAGGCAGCTCGGGGCGCGTTACCTGCCCGTTTAAACGCGCCTGCTGTCCTAACGAGCCCACCGCAGCACAGTTCTTTCCCAAACCGTGCTCGCACCGCCGGGGCTCGCCAGGTGGCCAC